GTAAGGAAGTTTAATTTAAAATTTTAATATATAGTTTCACTTAGAAGACTATGTTTTTGGTTCTCAAGGTAGGAAGGATTTTAAAAATAAAACACAAGGACCACAAAACCTTATAGCTTTCTTCTTAAAGATTTTTGAATGTCTGTATCTTTAAAACTAACGGTTCAGTTACCAAATGGACAAAGTGTATGAAACAGCCCATAGGAAAAGGTCTACAATCTCATTAGTAATCAGACACATGCAAAGGAAAACAAGACATACACCTACTAGTCTAAATGTTAGTATCATGGACTTCTAAAACCAACAACCTGTAACTGGAAGACATACAGCCAGAATGGTCCTTACAAGCAGGAGGGCCAGACTTAGTCTCTCTCATGCTTTGGACATATTATGAAATGGAGAAGGACATCATGCTTGGGAAAGTGGAGGGTCAGCGAAAAAGAGGAAGGCTCCCAACGAAATGTACTGACACAGTGGCAGCAGCAATGGACTCAAGTTTAACAATGATTGTGAAGTTGGCAGTGGATCGGGCAGTGTTTTGTTCTGTTGTGCATAAGGTTGCTATGAGTCAGAACCGATTCAACGGCACCTAATAACAACAACAAATCTTTATGGGAGCAGAAAGTCTCATCTTTCTCCCGTGGAACAGCTAGTAGTTTCAAACTGCTGACCTTCTGGTTAGCAGCCTGACTGGTACCGATTATGCTACCAGAACTCCTTACCGTAGACAGTGAAAATGAATAGAATCAAGATCAAGGCAAGGTAACGATTTTATTTCCACTCTGAATTCCAAATTCTTTGTAGCTCCCTTGTATAAATTTGATTGAAAAGTGTTTAAATAATACTGAAAAAGTGTTTGAAGTGTGTGTACTTTAAAGTCGGTTCCGACTCAAAGCAGCCGGTACAGGATTTCCAAGACCAGCTGGTGGGTCTGAACTGCTGACCTTGCAACTAGCAGTCCAGAGCTCATCTTATAGCAACCGTCTTCTACCCAAGACTCCACTCCATCCCCATTTGAGAGGCTAGACATGGAAGGCAATTTGACATGTCCTCACTACATTCTCTGCTGAAGCCACTGACCACAGTAGGAAAATGGCAGCTGCTACCTAGACCAGCATCTCCTGTGGATGGAAGCCAAAGTGCAAAAAAAAAACAAAAAACGTGGCATCAAATTAGTAATATATGGTCAACCACCAGTGCACCGAGGTCAAAATACACCCCACTGGAATTCAAATCACTTGTTGTGTAGTATGATGTCTTTATGTGGTTCCAAAAGGAATCTCAGGCTACATAGTAACTAGCTCTCTTGCTTCACACTGGAAATGAAAGGACAGACCATATTTTACAGATGCTTTATTAATAACAAAATTACACCAACATCTCTGTATCCATACACAAACAGGTTTCAAAAACAAAGCAGCACACAAAATGTTAACGTTAAGACTTAAGATGCTTAAAACGTGTCAAACAGTGTTTTACTTCCTGCTCATGCTGACACTTAGGGATTCAAAAGGTGTCCCCAAGGCCAAGCATCGCTCCTTCATTTTCTGGGACAGCTTGTATAGTAGTCATCCCTTGGTATCTGAGGGGGAGCACTGCAGATACCAAAATCAGTGGATGTTCAAGTCCCTTACATAAAACGAAATAATATTTGCATATACCCTAAGTATCCCCACCCCTATATTTTAACTCTCTAGATTACTTGTTGCTGTTGTTATGTGCCGTGGAGTCGGTTCCGACTCATAGCGACCCTGTACAGGATTTCCGAGGCTGTAAATCTTTACGGGAGCAGAACGCCTCATCTTTCTCCTGTGGAACAGCTGGTAATTTCGAACTGATGACCTTGTGGTTCACAGCCCGATTTGTAACCACTATGCTACCAGATTACTTGTAATACTTAATATAACATATATGCTATGTAAACAGCACTTACTCTCCCTCACTGCCTTTGAGGGATGGCTTCAGCCACTTGTTTTCTGTTTCAATTATCTTCAATCCGCTGTTGGTTGTCCCTGCAGATGCCACATTGGGGCTACAGAGGGCCTAATGTGTATGCTAAAGAGGGAGGGATTAAATTAAAAGGTTAATTTCTTGTGTTCAGTTTAGTTCAACGAACACTTGGCCCATAATAGGGGGTCCTAAGTGTTTGGGGCTGGGGATGCAATATCTATTATACTTTTGAGTCATTGTGTTTTGCTTTTAAAAACAACCAACCTCTATCTGCATATATACCAGAATTATAGTAAGATCATCTCATTTCCAGTTCCTCCAAAAGCAGGAAAACCTATTTTTAAAAGTAAGTTTAAGTAATTTTATTTAACTAATATTAATAACAGGTGGCGAGTAGTCCTTCCTAATCCAGGGTAACACAAACACTCAACAGTTTGCGTCCTTCTCCCTCCAACTTGGTTGAAAACACATTTTGTTCTATTTCCCTAAAGTACATTCTTTTCCAAAGCTCTTTATACAGGGAAAACTGACACCTATGGCCTCCCCATTCTAATTGACTTCAAGAAACCCTCATTAATTCCTTAAAGAATATTCTAGTTCTGAGAATCTCCTGGAAAGATGTGCTACATGGTCTTCCAAGGTTTAGCTATTTGCAAGTATGTGCGCGGGGTCTGAGTAAATACTTGAGGGGTAGCCGAGGCTGCAGAGCACAAACATTGCGTGTGGACACTTAACACTTGGACCCGGTTCATAACCAACTGGTGATCTACACTTTCAGGAAAGATGCTAAGGGATGAGGTATAGCAAGAGAAAAAAAAATGAGTCAATCACAGCTTCTACTCTCCACATCGTGGGAGTCTTCTCTCCTGCAAGAGAGGTACAGATTTCTGTGTGGATGAGACTTGGGAATGCTCGGCTATGTAGTGATGTAGAACACAAGATTCAGCTCCCCCAAAGCACCAACTGAAAATGCACAAAGACAACATCTACTGTGACGAAGCCGCCCACAGGGGGTCCTGGTCGCGCTTGTTCAGAGCAATCAGTCCCATCACCCACTGTGCTTTCATTTCCTACAAATGAGACCAGACTATTACAAAAATGTACTTTCAAAATAAATTATTTCTAGAATATAAAAGTTTTTTACATTTTGTTTTTCCAGCCCGCAGGTCATTACAAAATAGGAAATCAGAAAATTAGCTACTCTGATTTTCATATGGTAAAAAATATATGTGAACACACACACTTAAAAACAATCAATACAGCAAGTTTTAAACATCAATAAAAATCTGCCAATCAATGTAATTAGGTACGGAATAATCCTGTGAGAAATGTTAATGATCTGTAATGAGAACCAAGGACCAAGGATTACGATCCAGTTGTTAAGAGAACAATCGAAGACTTTCCCACGTAAGGGGTGGAGTCTCCATTGGAATCATCCACAAGACAGAAATCTCACTGTGGTTTCCAGATGTCAAAGCCCCTAGTTTTCCTTCGTGCACCAACAGATCTACTAGGCACAGAGCCAGAAAGCCAGACTCTGGAGCTGAGGCTGCCTTGTCCTTCGAGATCTGCAGGAAGGTGCCCTGCTGAGTGGGCACGTGAGGATTGAGGACCAGCTGGTGCTACATTTGCCAAACCATCAGTCCTACAGGTGGCGAGCAGGCAGCGGCCGACACACTGTTCTCTTACACATAGGTGCTGGATATGGACCGGGGACCAGTCTTGACGTCAGCTGCTGGAGAGGAGGTGGGAAGACTGTTCCCTGAGGTACTTCCCTAGAAAAGGCGAGCTGAGACAAAGCTGAACTAGAAGGTCACACTGTGACAACTAGGGGTCGTGTTTCCATAGTCTTTGCAAACATGGTGGCAAGCTTCAATCTGGCTGATTCCTGACCATTTCTAGCCATTACAGGACTAAGAACCTCACAAGTCTGAAAGGAGTGGTGAGGTGAGCAGGAAATCCTTCCAAAACACTGGGGAAGCAGTGTCCACGACCTCTAAGTGGCCAAGGACATATGTCCAGCACTCACAGAGGGCTCAGTAAGAGTGAAAATACGACAATGAGCCCCACAAGCTCCTATACGGTCGTGTCTTCCAAGTGTTGTTGATGCTATAAAGAAACCTGTTCGGCCACTCAGGTTTGTGGGAACGAGGACAAAGAGTGGAGATTTCATCATTTTAGCTCGTTCCCACCGTGATAGCTAGGTTTTTGGCAAAAGGCACCTTCCCTCCTCTACAAGGGAGCTTCAAAAAGTTCATAGGAAGAGTTCATTTTCCTCTCACCCCATGTTCCCACTCACTTCCTGAAGCCCCTTCGTAGTATCACAAATCAAGACACTTCCAAAAAAGAAAAAAAAAAAAATGCTGCAGCCGCTTTTTGCTCTCTCCTCCAACACCTGCTGTAGAATTCACAGGCTTAGGCATCCCTTGGAACCATTTCCTTACAAGGGCTGACAAAGGCACAACTCCTGTGCAATGCAGGATTCTTAGGAGTATTCTAGGATAGGAGAGGGAGCTCAGAGAGTGGCCACTGCTTCTTGAACCTTAGGTAACAAAGCAGAAGATAACACTTCTGTGCGTATGAAATACCCAGGACATGCGTTAGAGCAAAACCAGAGCAGATGGATGTGGACATAAAGACAAAGGTTTAATTCTCCACTAACATTCTATTACATGAAAGCATGAGTAAAACATCCTGAACTGGCCCCTCTCCTTGGAGGATGAAAGAATCCTATCAACTTAGGAAAGGGATTGTTAACCAAAGATAGGTCTGAGAGGTCTTATAAAAAATTTGCTCAGTCTCACATGCTCTCTTAAAACAAAAGATGCATGTACTCGTGTGTACATTCCGGGGCCCAGTCACATACATAGCTCAGGTGATGACCCCTGCCTCTCAACATTCACACGGGAGACAAGAATTAACCAGCCTTCCGTCCCCTACACAATCTGTACCTCTCCTGAAGAGTTGGGGGAGAGGAAGGAAAAGGAGAATAAACCAGCAAAAACTAAAAGCAGGGAAAACAATTTGCTTCAAAGGCCCTTTTGTAAAACTTATTTACCCTTAGAAGAAAGCACATCCCAATCTCGAGTGGCTTCTATCAAGTGCCGTTGGCCATGGCTCATCCACTCTTCCTGGTCTTCATAGAGCCGCCCACAGAACCAGCACTTAAAGATGGACTGTGAGGAGTCAGTGGGCAGGGAGCCCACCACCTGGTAGTTATTTTTGTGGACTTTCTTCAGCTTCATCTTCAGCATCATCTGCCTTTTGATCTGACTGGCTTCCTCCGCGTTCTGGTAGGTGAGGCGCACTTGGTGCCGGCGGAAGCCGAGCTGACACCTAGTCCTCTCAGACAAGACGACCTTGAGGACGTTGCCTTTGTACTTGTTTATTACCTTCATGACGTTGGTCACTTCCAGTGAATCCACATCAGGATGGTTCAATACAATGACCGGCTGGTTCCGGCGGGGGCATTTGATCAGCTGGTCTCGTTTGGCTGCTATGAGGCGCAGTTGCCGTGCAACCTGAAAAATGGAAGGACCCTTGAGACCGCGCCTGGAGTCAGCCTGGATATTCTTGTTCTTCTTGGATGAGTTTACTTGTTTGCTTTTATTTCCACTTATGGCAAGACTTCTGGAAAGGAGCTTCCCTGGCTTACTCCACTCACTGCCACTTTGCTGCCCAGGTGGGGGGCTGGTTTTTCCGGGAAGGATGCTACACACAGTACTGTCTTTTTTTGGCTTCCGCTGAGGTGACATCTCCAGGTTTTGGGACATGTCTACTGGCCCGCTTTCATTTGTCGAGATCTGTAAGTCAGTCTGTTTCACAGGGCAGAACGGAGTCGGTGTTCTTAACTGTGTTTCACTGCAAGGTATGCTGACAGGTGTGTCACACGTGGCCTCGATGATGTGCGCATCCTCAGAGGAATTAAGAACCCGCAACACCGCGCCTTTGGGGATCAACACTGGAGCGGCACCATGAGTTTGCCTGGTCAACCTGCTCCCAGTCTCCTCCTCAGGGCCATCCACAAACTGTGGGTGTATCTGTTGACGAATCGGCTGCCCATTGTCCTGAGAGTTTTGGGGAGGACCTGTGGGACATCCAGGGCCAGTAAATGGCATGCCGAGTTCTTGAATACTTTCCAAGGTTGCTTTCGAAGTTACCTTTGATGCCCGACCTTCACAACGGCGGTGTGCGTTGTTAGCAGCCAACGATGACGGCTTGCCACATGACTCCATCAACTGAGCTATCTTTCTGCGTAACAGTTCAATGGACTTTATTTTGGATGGTGAACTGTTCCACTTGATACCTTCGGGGACATTCTGAGATCCAGAGCTCAGAGAAAATACTGACGAGATGACCGGGCCATCAAAGCAGTCGTTATCCCTTTCAGAATTCTGGAATTCCACAGGCTTACCCCCAGGTTGCTGAGGTCTGAGTCCGTCTTCTCCAGCTAGGTTTATGTGTAAATATTCACTATGGTGTTGAGAGGAGACTTGGCCTGGCTTTGCAGCGGCCTCTATCTGGGTGTCTTTCAGTTTTCTACTGGAGGAAACCATTTTTAAAGGAATACTGATCTCACTTCTAGACTTCAAGCCATTTTCACTTATGGGCAACAAACCTTTTTCTCTGCAGAAAGGAAAGGCTGCGGGCGGTGGTGCAGTCAGGGGCAACAGTGACTGGGGGCCACTGTGTAAATTCCGTCCATCTTCAGAGCAGGCCACAGCTGCCTTACATGAAAAAGGGCTTGATGCAGTTCCGAGACCACATGGGACACTGGTTTTCGCAGTTGGTGATAGGGAATGACCCTTTAAGGCAATGCAAGGAGGTGGAGCAGTCCGTTGTGCAAACAAATGGTTTGTCCCCTGCAAATCCTCAACTCTATCTGAACTGAGAAAGGAATCCCCCTGGTGCTGCCCACTAGAGTTGGACGTGAGGAAATGGTACGGCTTGACCCATTTCACATTTGGAGGTTGCTGGTGCCCAGGAGACTGAAGCCGATCGAGACCTGCTGGCGCGCCCGTATTCCCCTCCATCATCAGTGGCTTTGTTTGTTCGGATGCTGCAGCTTTTTCTAGTATCTTCGGAGACTTCTCTTTTGTCACTAGCTCAGGGGTGCCTCCATCATGCCCACCAACTTCGAGGCAACTGTTTTCTTCCAGAGGAAAGAGTTTCAGAACAAGTTGCTGTGTTCCATTGACAACCTTCACATCTAGCAATTGGGCTAAGCAGTTGGCGGGGACAACCAGCTCGGATGGCGCCACCACCGTCAATGGCATGCCTGGCTGGACCGGTTCTTTTGCTGGGGACAACACCTCTACCTCAACGCTCTTGTTCTCAAATAGACCGCCTTCGCACGGCTCCGCTAGGGTCACTTTATTTGGAACACACACGCCATCCTTTTGGTACTCTTTGGGCTCCGGTACCAACATGATATTTTGCATTCGGTCTTGCTGTGCGTGGAGAGAGAACCTGGAAAGCTGATCCGACAGTTGGTTTTGAAATGCAGTCCTCTGGTTGGACGTGTTTAGAAGCTCCAGGATTGGTTTGGGTGTGCTGCTGCTTGGCGGCTCCAACTTGGCAACGGCTTTGGGGGACTGTTTCCCACCAGTCTTCTCATGCACCCTCCTCCGGTGTTTGACGATATAGTCGTTCCTAATAGCACCGTAGTCACAATACTCGCAGCGGTAAGGGAATATGCCCGTGTGCTTCACCAGGTGCCTCTGGAACTCGCCTTTCGTGTAGGAAATGTAGCTGCAGTGAGAGCAAATGAACTTGATCTCTTCGTGTTGAAGCGTGTGCTTTTTGTACTGCAGCGGGTCCTTGGTGGAAAACCGGCATTTGTCGCAGTAGTATTTGCCAGGCTTGAAGTTCCGGACCTTAAATTTATTATTACTGATCGAGCTGGAGATGGCGTCGGCGATGTTTCCTACTTGAGGAGAGCCAGCATGGTTGTCCACAAAATGGAAATGGGCAGGGGGCACACCAAGGCTGCATTTGAAACAGACATAGTGGTCTTTGTTTGGGCTTTGTCCGGTCCCCTTGAGGAAGTCCTGAAGGGGTACTCTGCAGACACTTGTGCACTTCACACACATAGCAGTGGTCATCATGACATCCCTCGCTGGGCCATCATACAACAGGGCAGGGGCCTCTTGTCTATGTGGCCGCACGACGCTACCGGCATCAGGATGCGTGGGTGACATGGTCAAGGAGCTCTGTCTGTCATTCACTTGTGGAACATACAGCTGCTGCCCTATATCTGTCATCTTCTTTATCTGCATTTCTGGAGAGAGTTCACTGAAACTGGAAACAAACTTCACATGATATGGGTCTTAGGTGGCATCCTTCCACGCATTTTGTTGAAGTAGCTGCTTCCTGGGAACATAGTTCATGGTCTTTTTGGATCCATTGCCACAGTCGGTGGGTGATCACCAAATACCTTCACTTCCAATTCTCTGATATTCCAGGCAACACTGAAGGGGAAAAGAAAAATCATAATGAATGATTTGTCTGTGAACTTTAGGTTTAGCCAAACGATTCCTGAACTGTCTAGATTTTAACGGCCTAGGAAATTTTGGACTACATCTCAACAGGTTATCCAAGATGCACGTGGACAGCAAACAACAAGTCTTAAGAGAAAATGTTTTCAAACTCAAGCACCCTAAAAACCACCACTTCAGACCAACCATGAACAGATATGCTGGAGCTTGGGCTTGGAGGGAGGAGGGTATCACAGCAAGCTCACGGAGTCACCTTTGCCTAGCAAAGGTTCTGCTTTGGTGTTCGTGTGCACATGCCAGCAATTTCAATATCTGCATATTCACCTCACTAACCATGTAGCATGGAGTCCTCGGGTGGGGCTGTAGGATAAGCACTGGACTACTCACTGAAACGATCAGCAGTCCAAACCCACCAGTTGCTCCTCAGAAACTCAGCTGAGGGTTGCTGAGTCAGAGCCGACTCGATGGCATTTAACAACATAACAGCCATATACAGGAAATACGTCACTGTGGATTCACAGGTGGTAAAGACCAGGGCTTCATGTTCGCTTCTACATCAGCATTTGGGATCTGTGTGGATCCCAGCTCCCTGGCGTTTACATCCATCTGCTTTTTACTGTGGAGTCAGGAATACTGGCAACATCAGGCCAGGCGGCCAAATCACCACTCACTCCTCGTCCTCCTCCAGCACATCATCATTTCTCTGTTGTGTGCCAGGCACTAGGGCAAGAGCTGCTGTTGAGGCCGAAATGAAAGGTAACCGATCCCTGCTCCCTGCACCCCTGTGATGTGCACAGACCCTAAGGGGGGTAGACAGGATACACATTTGCTAAGCAGTGGCAATTGGTGGGGAAAGGTGGTACAAAGTTAGGCCAGGGGGAAAGGGAGTGTGTGGGAGGCTGACAGGCCAGGCGGGGTGGTGAAGGCCAGGCCTGGCAGTAAGTAGCTATTTGTGTGGTGAGCTGGGGAGAGGCTGGGGAGGGAGCCAAGGGAAAGGGTATCTTAAGCAGAGGGAAACAGAGGTCTGGTGAGGAGGCTCTGTGGCCAGGGCAGAGATGGTCATGGAAGGATCTAGAACTCAGGATGGTGCCTTCTGGGGAAGCAGCTTAACTTGTATTTCAACAGGTCTCCAGCTGGTGTGAAGAGGAGAATCACAGCACCGTATCTCCAAAGGCAGAGATGACAGGATGACTTGAGTTAGGTTGTTGCTCTTGCTGTGTTTTCCAGTCGGCTCCGACTCCTAGCGACTCTGTACTGGCATTCTGAGGCTGTCTATCTTTATGGGAGCAGAAAGCTTCCCATTTCTTGCACAAAGCAACTTGTAGTTAGCAATCCAGTGCTTATCCCACAACGCCACACCCAGGACTCATAATTGATGGCTGTTGTTAGGTGCCATCAAGTCAGTTTGACTCATAGTGATTCTGTATAGGGTTTCCAAGGAGCAGCTCGTGGATTTGAACTGCCACCTTGCGGTCCAGTGCTCATTGTACAGCGCCACGCCAGGATTCCTGATCGATGGTAGGCCTTCATGTTTTCTTCATTTGGGGCAGGGCCGCCTTTTCCTGTTTCCTTCATTTGGGGCAGGGCCGCCTTTTCCTGTTTCATGTGTGTAGAACAGTTACTTCTGTTGAAGAGCAACTCCCACCATGTAGCACCCACTGTAAGGGTGCAGTGAACCAGGAAGAGGTCTCTGGGATGTGAGACGCGCTATCCCCTCAGCATCCAAACACCCACCTCCACAAGGAGACTGACGCTGTAGAGGGCACAGGCAGGGTACCGCAGATGGAAGAGCAGACCAGCAGGGCAGAGGAAAGACACTTCCTCTCCCCGGTACTTCAGGTATGTACATAGGTAGTGGCCCTGTCTTCCATTTCTACCATTCTTTCAGGTTTGCGGACTGACTTCAGTGAAGGGAGACGGAAGTGAGCCCAGGAAAACCCCCGGTGCTTCATCAACTTGCTCAGCTACACAACAAAGGGGTGGTTCGTCCAACCTTGAAATCAGACTTTCATCCCAAGTTTGGAGGGCAAGTCTCATCAGCATGCTCATGTAGGTAGTTCGAGGTGGTTTGCTGCTGAACCAGAAGCCGCCACGGCTGGCTGCAACAAGGGCCCAAGGACTACAGAGACCAGAAAAATGTCTACTTGTGTATTATAGACTATGCATACGCTTCTGACTGTGTGGATCACGATAAGCTATGGATGACATTGTGAAGAATGGTTATTCCAGTACACGTAACTGTGCTCATGAGGATCTGTACATAGACCAAGAGGCAGTCTTTAGAATGAACACGGGGATAACGAATGGTTTAAAATCAGGAAAGGTGTGCGCCAGGGTTGTACTCTTTCACCATAGTTAGTCTGTATGCTGAGCAAACAATCTGAGAAACATGAAGAACAACGTGGCATCAGGATTGGAGGAAAACAAACACTCATTAACAACCTGTGAAATGCAGATGATACAACCTCGTTTGCTGGAAGCACAAAGGACTTAAAATATTTATTGATGAAGATCACAGACTACAGCCTTTAGTGTGGATTCCACCTAAATGTAAAGGAAATGACATGCTCACAGACCAATAAATAATATCATGATAAATGAAAAAAAGACTGAAGTTGTCAAAGACTTCACTTTGCTTAGATCCACAATCAACACTCACATATGTAGCAGTCAAAATATCAAACAATGTATTGCATTAGGCAGTATATTGCTGCACAAGACCTCTTTATTGTGTTCAAGAGCAAAGATGTCAATTTTGTGCACCTGACACAGACCATAGTATTTTCAATCACTTCCTATGCATGTGAAAGTTGGACAATGAAAAGAAAGAGTGCAGAAGAATTGATGCATTTGGGTTATGATGTTAAACTGATGGTGCCATGGACAGCCAAAAGAACAAACAGGTCTGTGTTGGAAGAAGTATAATCAGAATGCTCCTTAGAAGCCAGGATGACGAGACTTCGTTTCTCATACTTCGGACATGTTATCAAGAGGAACCAGTCCCTGGGAAAGGATACCACGCTAAATTAGAGAGTCAGCAAACAAATGAGGTAGACCTTCAATAAGATGGACTGGCACAGTGGCAGAGGCGACGGGCTGAAGCGTAACAATTGTTGAGGACAGTGTAGGGCAGGCCGTGTTTCCTTCTGTTGTGCATAGGGCTGCTGTAAGTCAGAATTAACTCGATGATACCTAACAACTAGAAGGAAGAGACTCCTTCATGAGATTACTACTTGACCTGGCACCATTTGCTTACCAAGTGCTGCAACATCTCATCCTACGCACGAATCTGAAGACGTCCTACAACAAAACATGTGAAAAAATTCCTCTACTGAAGAATCACCCATGCTAGGACTCCATTTGCACACCGGCACTTTTCCAGCCTCTTCTACAATCATCATGGGCCAGTTTGCCATTTTCTTTCCAAGTTCTTTTAAAGTTTGCAGGGGTATCATGCCTTTTAACTCAAGACTCACCATCTAGGATGGCTTGGGCTGGACGATTGTGACCTTCAGTTTGGAAAAGCACAGTCCATGCTGGGAACAGGAAGTAGAGAGGAAACATTGTAAAAGAAGGAAGTCCCCAGAGCACCAAATGCAGAGCCCTACCAGAAGTGAACTGAGACTCCGTGGGGCAAGCGCCCCCATGAAGTGTGATGGTCATCAGCAGCTACAGTTTAACCAAGATGACGGGGTTTAGATCATGACCAAATTACAACATGTGTTTGACCGTGTCTTCTTGGGCTTCCACACCATTCTCAAAACGATGCCATATTACCACATTGGTACTTCGCTCAGTCCAAGTAAAACAGGTGTCAGGCTTCTTCAGAATAAGTAGATTACATTCTCTTTGGACTTTGCAACCTGTGTGGCCAGTTATGGGAAGAAAGTCTCAGCTAACACAAGCTGAGGCAGAGGCATAGAACTAGGGTGGATGACTTTGGTGCTGATATAAACATGAACACATCTAGGCTGCAACCGGCACACCAAAATCACAGGCTCCTCAACGCCTCTTCTTTTCACACACAACTGCTTCCATCTGGTTCATGTCCATGTACAACCACCTGTGAAGGTGGGTCTTCGGAGCCAGGTACCGTCCAATAAGCCCATGATGAAGGAGTACGTATGGACGCTGTAGCTAAAACACCATGCCTGGGCCTGATGCTGAGCAGAAACTCAGTTAGACACTATCAACATCTGGATCAGGGCTCATCTACCTCCTGTACTCACAAAGCTTTGGGTTTAGACAACTGCACTTAACCTCTTAGGACTAGAAAATACTCTTTCTTCCAGGAAATGGAGGATTCCCAGAAACACATATTCAGTATTATTAACTTCTTGGCAAATATTTAATATTTAGTATTACTAGCTTCTGGCCCAGCGAGTAAGGTGTTCGTTCTATGTACAGATATGTGTTACTTTAACATCCACTAAACACTTTGTGAAGTAGGACGTTACATTATCTGAACGTTGTGCGAACATGTCTGAATCGTGAGCAATAGTGTTCACCCAGTTTGCACCTTTGTGCTGTATATTATCCTCTTGTTTTCGTTTCTATATCCATTGGTACTTCTTGGATACTGCCTGCTGCTACCACTGGCACTGGTTTTGTGGCGTTTGGGAACCACAATACACTCCAGAATAATTGTTTTGAAAGAAATGAAACAGACATAACACTACAACACTCCACAGGTGCACAATATATGAGACTGGGTGCTACCACCTACAAGTCCAAATACATGCAGTAAATTTTTACAAACTGGTAGCATGTGCATTTATGAC